AGAGTTAGCATACTCTTACTTTATGTGAGCATAATATATTCTTAAATTGAATCAGCATTGATGTAAATCTGTTTAAGGGAGACAAACAGTCGAATCCAAAACCAAGAGATTCAAAATAAAAAGTAATATGGTACAAGAACATGAGCCTTCTGCATCAACTATTCAGAAAAGTAGTAATATGGTTCAACTTTTCAACACGTCTCTTTTATGTTTGTTACAAACAAATTTTGTAATTATCCTTAGTCTCTTACTTAGTTTCCCAGGTTCCTGTACTTTATTTTTTCTTCTATCTCTACACGTATTCTTTCATTTATCCGAATGAACGCTTGATTTCTCATGTACATCGAACCGACCGAGGTTTCAGAGTACATCCACAAAGTTCAAAAATAACTGAATCAAGGAGAAAGGAAATCAAAGAAGTTCTTCCTCTCTTCCTAAAGAAACAGCAGTTAGAATTCAGCCCTCTAAATCATTAGTCTCAAGTAAGACAGATGAGTATGATTATCGATAACAACGATCATGTAATCGTGTTCATCCCTATTGCTCGAGTCTTATCGATCTCAGTTGGTACTTTGAACCATTCTAATCACAATTCACAATCATAAAAAGCAGCCAACAAGAAAAGGCCAACAAAAGATTTAATAGCCAGATCTCATGTGCCAACCAGGTCTTTAGTCAAGCTAAAATCACATGGATCTGCTAAATGATAGATGTGATATGCCAGGCAGCCAATACCCCACATTCAAAAGTTCAACATATCATCATATCAGTATCAGCCAAGCCACAAGGGACCGAATTCAGGAACAGAAATTAGAAGCAAGAACAATAATGAAGCAGAACCGTTTACTAATTAATAATCCAGTGATATATTTGTTGCTTGCAGTTCTATAAGAATGGAAATTGGATAAACTGGCTGCCCATATAATTGATACTGCAAATACACAGGAATTTAGTGTGATGTTACAAAGATGTGTATTAATTTTTGTCTGCATTATGCAGCAAGGACACTTTGGAGAACTCAACCAAAATTATGTGTCTTGTGGCTTGTTAGGTTTTGAAAGACTCTCGAGGCTTACAATTTGCTTAGCTTTTTCTTAATAGAAAAGAAAACCGTTGCATTAAGAGAAGAAAAAAGAAACAGCCCCAAGGAGCAGCCCAATGGGCAAGGGTTTGAGATCACTTATCATATTGGCATAGAAGTCTAAAATTTGAATTTAATAACAAAAATCTTTAATGTCCCGGGACCTTTGGAACAAAACTACGACTGTTATAAAAAAAAATAAAGATGAAAAAGAATACAAGAGCAGGCCATAGACCATACAAAAACACAGGCCAAGGCCCGCAAGAAGGCCTCCAAAGGGAAAATAACAACTTAAAAGAAAGGAATTTCAGATTGGAGAATATCTTCTTCAGTTCTAATATAGTGCAACAAGACTCACTAGGAACGAAAGTCACCCAAAAAACTACAGAAATCTCCACCATATCTCCTTTGCTAATGGACACCTCTAAAGAATATGACAGATCCTTGGATGGCAGCCTATAAATAAACCAAAGAGGAGGATTACAGATAGTAGAGGCATATAATTCCTTCTTCTGAGGTCAGAGTTTTAAATTCCCACATCCTACAAGAAACTAGGAGTTAGAACAAGAATCAAATTTTGTCTTGATTAATGGACAAAAATCCCCATTGGATGGCAATCAATTGCAGAGTGTAGAATGGACGGTTTCTGAATTGTAGAGTAAACCGAACCCAAAGCAAACTAGTATGACAAAAATTGAAAAATCAAGTGTTGTTAAACAAATATATTGGTTTGGTAGAAGAAGAAAATTAAGGGCGACCTTAGATATCATCAGTTTGTGTAGACTGTAGCATATCGATGATTCCTCAGTCTCAGAGCTGCTCCCTCATCCGCAGCTTCTCATATTTGTTGTTCTTCTTCATCTTCAGTGTCAGCCCAAGCCATCCGCGAATCATCCGCCTCAGATGGAGCGGACCCAATTGTAAAATTGGGTTTTCGTAAAAGAAATGTGAGAGAATTGGCAATGGGCCGAGTTCTCTTAGTTTGATGAACAGAGGATACTCCAACAGTCCAACTTAACTTCGCGGGACCTTTTCTGAAAAAAAAAAATTGAAGTTAGAAAAAGTAACAAAATTAAGGTAGTTTTTGGAAGTAATGAATCGTGGGTCGTAATCACGATTTAAATAAATCATGGCAAAATTTTACAATTCCAAATTCCAAAGGTAAATCACGACTCTTTGCATATGTTTATATCGAATTTAAAGCACATGATTGCTAGTGATAGATGGTGATACGCTTATACTCATGGAAAAAATAGGATAAGAATAAATAGAAAATAAGTAAGGAACTAAAACCACGTACGGTCAACCAAAAACAAAGTCGACCAAGTGAAAATTACAAGAACCCTACGAATTCTTTTTCCGACTCCAATTACAAAAAATATTTTCCGGTTATTTAAACTGTTTCAGTTGGAATGATTAGAATTCAAAGTCCCGTGCCTCTGCGCACTCGGATCACATCACTTCTCGATGGTTGTGATTGGTGACTTGGTGGTGGTACAGGCCTTGGCATTTTGCATGTTAGGGAGAGAAAATGTTAGATGAGGAGAGAGAGATCTTTTATGATCGAAAGAGAGAGTGGTGTAGGCATGTAAGAGAGAGGGTATAATTCTGGTTTTGCATGCATGAGAGAGAGTCAGAGAGATCAGTTGACGCATGTTAGAGAGAGAGAGTAGTAGTCTTCTTGTCATCGTATATATGGCATAGAGAGAGAGAATTATTGGATAAGGGAAGACCTTAATTATTTGCATGTTAAGAGAGAAATGGATAATATTGAGTCAAGAAATGATGAAAGAATTGATCATATCTCTTGTTCGGGCTTGATACGTGGAGAATGGAGAGAGGTCGGAAGATCAAGTCTGATATGGAGGCTACCTAAAGAGGGTTTGACCTTCGTACCTAGTTGCAAAAGACATTGAAATTTCTCCCTTGACTTTAGTCACCTGACAACTCGACCTTCAAGACGACATGAATAACGGTTCGTCAGACCTCACTTCTGCACCTGGTATCACATTCTAACTCAGTCTTCATATCTAAGTCCAACTTAAATTGACTTGAACGTCGGAGTGTTTGCCTCTTATATACAGGTTTTTCTCTGCCAGCAAGACTAAAGCTCTTCCCAATTAATTTCTTCGACCAAGTGCAACCTAGCCTTGACCAATTTTACTGTACAAACATCTCTATTTGTAGTTTAATATCCTCATCTAATTAATAGTTTATAATATATAGACCGACAATATATATACACTCATTATACATGCATCACTCCCATAAAAACTAAAAAATGACCATAGTTATAATAATGTTAAATAGTCAAATAAGAAGGAAAGAAGTTACGATTACATACAATGATTTTACTAGAAAATGTAGAGCATTCAAGAATTTTTTTTTTCTTTTTGACATCTAGAACATTCAAGATGTTGATGCTATTATCCGCGTGTCTATATAGTTTGCACTTCGACTAATCACGGACAAGGAAACTCGTATGATATTAAATCCTACGTAGATGACCACCATGATTTAAACTCATCTCCTCTAAATTGTTTGTTATTTACATTGATCTTTATTGACCACTAGATCATCTTTTGATAGTCAGATATTTTAGACGTCTGAAGATGAAATTATAATCTTTAGAAATGAATAAATTAATAGGAGGATGCTAAAACAAAATTTCGTTCCCACCGGCCATCATTGTGACCCAAATTAAAGTTAGAACCAAAAAGCAAAAAGCAAAATAAAATAATTCCTATACATCCACATTTAAAGTAAATAAAAAGAGTTTTAATAAATTTCTATTTGTAGCTAGCTGTCTTCGAAATTTCAAATTGGCATCCCCCTATTTAGAAAATAAAAAGAATATAATTGGTGATCACATTATTATATACTGCCCCTTTATAATTAAAACGTAGACAAATCAACAATCAACATATGGAAAAAGCCTATGGCCGACTTCAAAAGAAAGAAAAAGAGAAAAAAAAAGGGTTACGTTTAGGCATATGATATGATTATAAATTAAAAGAAGAGACAAGTGCAATCATGATTCGCCTCCCATACGTGCAATATGAACCATCATTAACAAAAACATCAACAAATGCTGTCACATTTCAAAAAAAAAAAAAAATTGCCCTCAATAATTATGATTTATGGGTGTTTGATTTAGCGGGTTAGATTTATATAATTAATTTGGATTTTATTAACTTTAAACCAAACTTATTACGAGCTCCTAAAACTATTCTCATTCATTTGCACAATTCAATCACAAAATGTACAAATTTAGATTATGCGAATAAAAATATATGCATATAGTCCAAAGTGGGACATAAAAATTGGTGTATTTTTCTATTCAACTCACCGTATTAGCATCGCGTAAGTTAGTATATAGTACTTGAGAAAGAGATAAATAAATCAATATGTCAAAGATAATTAAGCTTTAAAAATATTATAAACTCAACTAAAATTTATTTAATGGTTACATCAGAGTTAATATTCAATTAGTTGTTTAATTAACTAACGAATATTATTAAAGGTGAGTTTGTCGTACCTATCTTTCTAAAAGTCACTTTTTACGTATTATAAACGACAAGCGTGCCAATCACTTTAAAGTTACTATTTAGATAATTATATATTCGCATTTCTTCAAAATGAGATTTTCTCGTTGTTTAAAATAACTTATTATAAAAGCTATACTAATTAAACAGATTGTAATAGCAAATTTTTCAAAAGTATTTACTTTTTTCTTTGAAAAGCACTAGGAATTTTTGAAACATGATTATTGCAGTAAGAATTGATGTCCAGCAAATCACAACTTTGGAAAGAAAAAAAGCAATGAATATATGAAATACAATTAAAGAGAAGGTCCCAACCAAACCCCAATCGCACGTGTGCATCATGTGTTGTGTCCCCTCAGCCTCTTTTGTTGGCCCATGGGATATGGGACTTTCTCTTTGCTGTCTTCAAAAGAAGAGGATTTCAATTATGAAGAGCTGCTTAAAAAGAATCCACAAATGCCAACA